TTATGGGGAAAACGGAGAATTTGTTTAACTTCCTTCTATGTACTTTAGGTTTAGTATGGTCTTGAGTTTGAATTCTACATCAAGGGTATTGGAGTTAGGTGAAAGGAGGTAGATCATAATCTTTTCAGTGCTTAGTGCCTCTAAAGATCCAGCCCTGTTGGTGGGTTTATCAGAATGTACTCTAGTAGGAAGAGCTTCTGAGTTTTATTCCCTGATTTTACAAAAAAGGAAGCTGAGGCTCAGAAAAGTTAAACCCTTGCTGTATGAAGTGTGGTCTGTGGACAGCATTGCCTGGAAACTCAGGTCTCATCTCAGACTTACTAAATCTAAATATGCATTTTACAAAGATTCTAGGTAGTCTGAGAAGCACTGGATTGAGAGACTTATTGAGAGTCATAGAGACAGCAAAGCCAAAAGTGGGACCTGACTCCTATCTACCATTTTGATATCACAATTTACTTCTTTTTATTTTGTGTATTCATTAAGAAGTTATTGTAGCTATACTTATTTTTTTTTAAAGATTTTATTTATTTATTCGTGAGAGACACACAGAGAGAGGCAGAGGCAGAGGAAGAAGCAGGCTCCATGCCGGGAGCCTGATATGGGACTTGATCCCGGGTCTCCAGGATCTTGCCCTGGGCCAAAGGCAGGCGCTAAACTGCTGAGCCACCCAGGGATCCCGCTATACTTATTTTTAAAATATTTGCCCTTTAACCTTTATACTAAAGTTATTAACACACCACTGTATTGCATTATTAATGTATTTTGAATTTGAATATATACTTACCTTCACCAGTGTGTTGCATATTTTCATATGTTTCATGTTATTAAATTAGAGCCCTTTCATTCCAGCTTGAAGAACTCCTTTTAGCATTTCTTGTAAGGCAGGTTTAGTGATGATCTCCCTCAGCTTTTGTTTGTCTGGGAAAGTTTTTATCTCTCATTTCTGAAGGACAATTTTGCTGGACAGAGTATTCTTGGTTGGCAGACTTTTTTTTTTCTTTCAGCATTGTGAATATATCATCTCATTCTATCCTGGACTGTAAGGTCTCACCTGAGAAATCTGCTGATAGCCTTATGGGATTTCTCTTGTATGTTACTTCTTTTCTCTTCCTGCTTTACATTTCTCTCTTTATCTTTGATTTTTGGTAGTTTTATTTTAAATGTGTCTTGGAGAATATCTCTTTATATTGAGTTTGTTTGAGGATCCATGAGCTTCATGAACTTGGATATCTAAAATCTCTCCCCAGATTTGGGAAGTTTTCAGCCATTTTTTCTTTGAGTAAGCTTTCTGCCACCTTCTTCCCCTCTTCTCCTTATGGAACTCCAATAACTTACAGATTGTTTCTTTTGATTGTATGCTACAGATCACATAGGATTTCCTCACTCTTCTTCATTCTTTTGTTTTTGTTTTTTTTTGTTTTTTTGTTTTCCTCTCTGGATAATTTCAAAAGTTTCTGTCTTCTAACACACAGATCTTTTTCTTTCATCTGATCCATTCTGTTGATGATCTCTATTGCATTTTTCATTTCATTCATTATATTCTTCAGCTTCAGAATTTCCATTGTGGATATCTTTTATGGTTTCCATTTTGTTGTTAAACTTCTCATTTTGTTCATGTGTTATTTTCCTAATTATATTGAATTGTCTTTCTATGTTTTCTTATAGCTTTCTAGAAACAGCTATTTAAAAATCTTTCTTGGGTAAATTACAGATTTCCATGACTTTCAGGTAGGTTACTGGAGGATTATCATGATCCTTTAATGATGTCATGTTTCCTTGCATTTTCATATTCCTTCAAGTCTTATATTGCTGTCTTCAGATCTGAAGTTGCAGTCCTTCCCTCCAGTCTTTACTGAATAACTGTGATAAATACCTTCCCTGAGCCCTGCTAGGGATTCTGAGATTTTCTTAGACCTTCTAAGGATACACCTGCTTCAGGCTTCTTGCTTCCTCATGTGACAGAATTCTTAGGCTCTACAGCCTCTCTTGATCCTTGATCAGAACACCAGGTTGAGTCTTGATAGCTTCCCTTTTGCTTTCCCAAAGGTGGTACTAAAGTTCAAGTTTGTGGTCTTTCGCTGAACCACAGATTTGAGCTGGTGCAAAACTTCTGTGAGGGCTCACTAGCCATCTGTCAAAGCTCTCTCTCACCTCTACTGGGAGCACACACAGGGAACTGACCATAGGGCGTGTGGTGAGTGGAGGGGTGAGATTTGAGGAGTGCTGGGGGTGCCTGTGGCCAGCTGGAGGGATCTCTGGGTGAGGCATTCCCCAGTAGATCATAGGTGAACTTTTTGATGGAGTCCATGACATTAGGATCTGTGTCTCTTTAGTGCTCTCTGAGAGCCCTATCTGCCACTGTGCTAGCCACTTCCAGTCCCCCAGTTGCGAGCTCACAATTCATTACTTTTGATGCGGTGAGAAAGAAATGGGCTTCTTTGACCCAGTCCTGTACAGCTATTGAAGCTGGGTGCTTACTTACGTGTTTTTTACTTTCTACTCTGGGAGAAATCATGGGCTAAGAAGGTCCCTCATGGAGGAAGGGTAATGTAGGTAAAGGCAAACTGTTCCTCCTACTCTCTCCAATGCATCCAAATTCTTGTGTGTGTGTGTGTGTGTATGTGTGTATTTTTTTTCTTTCTTTCTTTTTTTTTTTCCTCTAATGGTGTTCTGGAGCCTCTGCTGGACTCCTGGATTTCCACAGATTTCTTGTTCATGGGTAATTGTCTAAGGAAGTGTTCTCCAGGGGCTCCTGGACCATGAGCAAGAGGGGCTGGAGTCAGTTCCTGGTCCATTGCTGGGTCCACAGCAGAACAGAAGTCTGTATGCTTAGTACCCTGTGTAAGTGGGTAAGACTACTTCTGAGTCCCTTGGCATATGGTGTTGGATCCCATAGCTCCCAGGAAGGCATTTGTGACTTTGGACGGATACCAAATTGTTGTTGATGTGGATCCCACAAATAAGATGAGCAAGGAACATCTTATTTGGCTAACTTACTGATGTCATTTCCTGGGTGTCAATTTTTCAACAGCTGTTTTCTTAGACTGCTAGTTAAGAAAAGATGCCACATCCAATGACTGAAATTCTTGCTGTTTTGGAGAGTTGGCTTTTTTTTTTTTTTTTGAGAGTTGGCTTTTGACACCTGTTTTCCCATCAAAATGAAAAATCTTAAAGAAGCAGCAAAAGGCAAAAATATTTCTGCTTAATGTTTTCTAAGGAATTGGCTGATGTAATAAATGCTGTGTGGTCCTGACCATGGCTTAACTAAAATTCAGGTGGAGGGAAGTAAACAACCTGGTTGTGGAGATTTCTAGTGGTAACATATTAAGGGGTTGGTGGTGGGAGTAAAGTTTTAAACATCTGAAAAGAGAGTAAGGTGAATTTTCTCCCATCACCTCCTTCATGCTCATGAACACAATGAGTGTATCAAGTTTTCATGAACGTAGTCCCCGAAAGTCCCTGCCTAGTAGGGTGGAAATACAAAAAACTTTGGAAGAAATTGAAACCAATTACATTGCATGGATATTTATTTGCCATTTGCAGTCAGTATGTATGCTATTTTCAGCACTTTAATGAAATAGAAGAGAAATACTGACCCCATCTGGAAGGCTTCCATTTTTGTTCTGGCTTCTCTCCTGGGCTTCATTTACAATGTCTTCTGCAAGTATGCTTAGTTGTCCTAAGTTCTCCCTGTGGAGCTTTCCAAGTCTACCCCAAATAGCTCTACTCTGCCAAAGACTCTAATATTTGAAGCCTTCCTGGAGACAGTGTTTGGGATGCCTCTAAGAGTCTCTTCCTCTTTGTCAGGGTCAAAGTCCACTTGCCATTCAAAAACCATCTTCTAGACAGGATGTTTTTTCCTTTCTGGTGTTCTGGTACTTCGACATTAAACTGTATATCTCTTCAGGATCAACCCACTGGACCACTTGGAAAAGCTCTATTCATATTTTATTCTATATCTTTGTTGCAAATCTCCTACCTTTAGAGAATATAAAGTAATTGCTAGAATATGCCAAGAAAGCAGTCCTGTTCTTATATTGAAAAAATGGAAAACTTGACTTAGAAATTAATTTTTTTAACTAGAAAAAAATCTGCGTTTTAAGATATTTACCAATAATAAAAATAACTAAGATTTATTAAGGATTTGACATATGCCAGACACTATACTAAGCTTTACTTACTTCTAATTTCTAATCCTCACAGCAACTCTATAATATAGATACGTTTTCCCATTTATGGATGAGGAAACTGAAATTTCAGAAGGTTAAATCATTGAAATTAAGAATGTGCCCAAGGCCACAAATCTAGAAATCAGAACAGCAGGCATTCCAAACCTAGTTTCCCTTTTCTCTGAACTAGGCCTCTTGATCAATCACTACACTCTATTAAAGAAAAGAAGATCCTAATTGTCTAATTCTTGGTTCTCCCCTACCTCCTGAGCATTGTGACCCCCCCACTCCCCACCCCCCTCCCCCACATACAGTATTTTACTGATGAGGACTTTTAAAGGCCATTCTCTCTAATAATAATTTTTATTTCATCTGAAAGTCAATTAGGTTAATATAAATGGCTAACATCTACAATTAGAATGTCCCACTTCCATTTAAAAACAGCCTCCTGGGGCACCTGGCTGGCTTAGTCAATGGAGCATGTGACTCTTGGTCTCAGGGTTGTAAGTTCCGGCCCCTTGTTGGGTATAGAGATTACTTAAAAATAAAAACTTAAAAAAAAAAAAAAAACGCCTCCTGCTTCACTGGAGAACACCATTTTCTTTTTTCTCTTGTAATGAATCCTTCATCAAACCATAACACTGGCTTGAGTTGTCAAATACATTACCCTTTAAGCTTCATCCTTTCTCCAAAGAAAATCCATGAACTACTTGCTGAGAAATGCAGAGAATAAAAACAAAAGAAGGCAAGAATTGTCTAAATTTAAAGTGCTGGAAAATCCAACATTTTATTTTACTACATTTTGGTGACTACATAAATGCTGAAACATTTTAACACTGAAAAGCATGATGGCATCATCACTTGCTTTTTTTTCTTTTTTTCTTTTTTGCTTAGCAAACACAGCAGATGATATTGCACGGCATAAAGTGAGAACAGTAGCGAAGCTTAAAAAAAAGTGAAAGAAACCTTAATGCAGTACAGGAGATACTCATAAACAAACCAGAATAATGCCTAATGCATTACACTTTTTGTAGCTACACACAAAAATACAGAAGAAGCATTGGACAGAGAGAAAGAGAGAGAGACAAAATATTAGCGAACAACCATAACTGGGTACAATAACCATTTAGTCTGAAATGTAGATGCAACATAGAAACTACCACGGCTTTCTAATTGACAAAGAAAATGACAGCAACATTTGTCTTTTATCAAAAATCTTCTAAGCCCCTCATGGTTAGGTTTTTAAAGTAATTAATTATTTATGTTTTTTTTTTTTTTAATTGCTAAGGAAGAACTCCCTCTGCTCTTGGAAGATTTTCTACTCTACTGATCTTTTTAAAATTTAATTTTAATTTTTTTTTTTTACCTGATGATTGTCTTAGGCACCCTCCTTACATAATAAACCATCAAGCTAACTTGAACAGGGAAACTGAGTCACACTCAAACAATAGCTAAGGTCAAAGTGTACTGAAAACAGAAGAAGGGGAGAGACAGGTCTAAGTGAGTGACAGATGGGCTGCCTTCTGAGGGGACAAGAAACACAGGGAGATATGAAGACAACTACCGAAGCAAGTGGAAGACAATGTTTTAAAGTTTATTTGTTAAAAAATACTTGTCACTTGGTTTAGACGGCAAATCTAAAACGAGCCCACAATGATTATGTAATAAATGCAGAACATACCACAAAAAAATCAAGACTAACACAGAAACAGAAAATATGACCTGTGAATACAACTCTGTTCAGCGTTTCATTGCTGATGGTACAAGTCTGCTTCCTCAACAATTTTCCTGGGCTTTCTGTAACTCACTGCTCAGCATTTGTATTAAAAACAAATAATTAGTCAATGCTTACCAATGATCCTGCAACTCAGAGCAGATTTATTGCCCTATTAACATACATAACAAGTATAAAAATGTTTCTAAGAAAATGGAACATTTGACCCAAAATCTAAGCCCTCCCTTTCTTTCCCCACCCCTAATACCCCTGCAAAAGAAAATAAGATAAAATTCTTGTGTTGAGAGGAAAAGTATTTACATCTGTGGTTTTATGCCATGTAGTTGAAGCAACTTATTTCAGCAAAATAAAGCAGTGGGCACCGGCGCTTCTGAGGATGCTGCTGATTGGCTGAGATTTGTGTGTGTGTGCTGACCTAAAGCAGGTCCAAGTATCTGAACAGCCTCAATTTAAGGGGGCCTGGGGTAGGGCCCATCTCTGGTTTGGACAGGAAAAGTCACAGGAAGATCAAGAGTGATGAGAGACAAATTGAAAGAGGGCTGGGTTACATTCACTCAGGACTCACATTTGAGGAGAGCTCTTGCCATTCTCGAGGGAGTGGGGCTAGGGAGTGGGGGGTAATTGTAGGTAACAGATTACAAGAAACAGCTGTGGAGAGGAACATGTAACTGTGAAACATCTTCCTTGAGAACTGGGGCCAAACAATCAAGTCTTGCTTCTTCTATGGGTTGGCCAGACAGGCAGGAGCTGAGCCAGCTGCCTCTCAGCCTTGACTTTCTCTGTAAGTGCATCATCCTTTCCTCAGCTCTCCAGGAGGAATTGCCCCTCTGCCCTGCCCCTTGCCTTGATGCAGTTCAGAAACTTGGTGAAATTTAGGAGGATTTCCAAATTCAAGTTAGCTTGCCTCTTTGAGTTTTTCTTTTCTTTTTCTTTTCTTTCTTTCTTTTTTTTTTTAATACTCTTTACTTCTCATACCCGTGTGAACGGTTAAAAAAAAAAAAAGTAGCAAAGTATCTCACAAATGCCGGTGCTTTGAAACATTTAAACAACTCTTAAATTCTTTGGAATTTCAGGTCTAACCTGCAAAATAATCTTCTCTAAAAATGAAAAAAAATTAATAAATTAAAGGAAGAACACAAATAATGCCTTTCTCCTTTCTAAGTGACGAAAAGACTACCTTGAAACACTCATTTTGGCATGTACAAGTTTTTTTGAGGGGGGAACCTGGCAGTGTTCACAACACACATTGAAGTGCCTGCTAAGAAAAAGCCAAAGATACACCCTGCAGTTAAGAGAAGCTCTTGCCTTCGGCTGATCTTAGCATCAAGAACAAAAAGATTGTAACATAAAGCTTTGGCCATTTCAATTCTACTATATACACGGTAAAAACTACACAGTCATAAATTAAAGCAGTGATTAAATAAGCTCATATAAAATGTAATTAAATTAAAAAAATCACAGCACATTATAGAGAAAAATAGGAACCAGTTTCACAAAAAAGAGGTTATATATATATATATATATATATGTTTTTTTTCTTTTACCCTGTGGAAACAAATTAACTACGAAACACAAAAACTTTGTAAGTCACCAACCGTCAAAAATGATAATCATTTCTTATTCCATTCTTGCATTTTTACACAAACTTTAACCCACCTGGGGAACATTTCCGGAAATTAAGTCTTCCTTGAGCCACAGAGCAGTTCTGCCAAGAAAATAAACCCTAAACCGAAGGGGGGAGGGCGGGGGACATCCCAAACATACAAACTACAAAATAAATAAGAATTATAAAGTTTTTTTTTTAAAGTAACCTTAACAATTATCAAACTAGTAAGTTCTGCCTTATCACATAGACTCTCTATACAACATAACCCTAAAACTTTATTACTATGAGGTATTTGGAGGAATTGGTAAAAGTGATGCACGGCCTGCCTGGCGAAGGGACTCGGGGAGGTGGGGGGACCTCGAGAGGGAACAAGGAGGAGGAGCTTTGGTTTATCAGCAAGAAATTGGGGGGGGGGAGTCATCCTTTGGTATCAAAGAAAGTTTCATTGCATGGTTGCACGGAAAAAGCACCACGGTGAATAATTATTCCTTTTTTTTTTTTTTTCATTAGTGGCCTTTCTAAGAGGCTGAGGTATTCAAAGAGTATAAGGTGAGAGGTCAACAGCGGTTTAACACTTTGGTTCAAGCAAGGCACTCGTCCTAGGAGTTTACAAAGTTTGCAACATGTTTGCCTAGAGATTTACAAGGAGAACTAGCAGTAGTAAGAGTAGTATTTCCTAATGTTGTTGTTGTCATTTCGTATCATTATCATTAAGAATGAAGACAAGTTTACACACTGAGTGAAGAGCGAGGAGGGGGGAGGAGAGGTGGGGGAGGGGAAGGGGTGGAGCTCCCTCTGCAGACCAAGTCCGTGCATGAAAATATCTTTGGTATTCTTTGGTATCATCAATGTGATTAAAATCACCAATGGAAATCGAGTGAGGTAGCGTCTTTGGTTCACACTATAAATAGTAGATCTTTACACTTTTTTTTTTTTTTTTTTTTTTTTTAACACATGGAAGTAGCTATTTCTTACCTTCTGCTTCTTTGTCCTTACTATTTAGGAAATAGTTACCAAATGTACTGTAAAGCTAACCACACCACAAGAATAATCCAGAAGGCCAATCGCATCTCAAAATGGCCTCTGGTGTTTGAATGCACCCTAAACAACTAGATAGGAAAGGGAGAAGTGCTTTCTCTTTGTTTGCTAAATGCATAGTTTTCATCCTTTATGTACAAAGAAGGGAGGACCTTTCTTAGGGAAAATGCCTTTATAGCTCTTGTGAAAATGTCCTAGGACTCTTTGGTATAGCAAAGTTTGCATTTAACCTGCAAAGACGGATCATTCACCTGGGGTAGCAATGGGAGTGGCATGAGTCCAAAAGGAGCATAGTACTTTTACTTTTTTGTCCTGGAAATGTAATTATGTTTTTTTTTTTTTGTTTGTTTGCTTTGTTTTTTAATGAAGAGTGACATGTTCAGTTTGAATGCCTGAATTTCTCCACATTCTCTTTGGGTTTAGGGATCTATACCAGCTGCAACCAGGACTAAATACTTAGTTCCTGACATCCAGAATTCATTTACCTACCTGAACACTTACTGAAATCTGGGCTTTTGGAGAGTCCAAATGTCATATCTCCCACGCTCTCTGTCTTTGCCTCCTTTGAGGGAAGCTTGCAGTCATGAGAGGACCTGAATGATGTCTGGTCAAAAACAGTTTAACTTCCATTCTACCAAAAAAAAAAAAACCCCAAACATGTTATGTGATGTGCAGTGTGGGAAAAAACAAATATACCAATAAAAGTGTGGGATACCTTTTTTGGATGGATTTTGCAAAAGGATTGAGAAATAATGGGTAAGCAAATGGCATGTAATCTGCTCCACGGAATGTGGTAGGTTAAAAAACCTGAGCCATAAATTTATGCTACATGCCAAGTTAGAAGCAATAATCAGTCATACATGAAGTAAGAGTGTATTGCTTGTGAGAAGCTGAGTTTGTCCATTATGATTTCTAAACAGCAAAGGTTGTGAGTATGCTTGAATAGTCTAGTAAAAAAATTGCTTTTCAGGCTCTGATTTGTGCATCTGTTCATGAGAAAATATATCTCTAGGCCCTGAAACTATGTGATGGGTGCAAATTCAATGCTGGTATAAAATTATCTTTGGTGTTAGCAAGTAGGATCACTGGATTATTTTTCAAAAAAAACTATTATGATGGGAATATTAGAGATATAGTAATATTCTTTGAGACTGTGTCTACACAGTACCAAAATAATTGGTTGAAAACGTAAAATGCAATTGGATTAACCTGACGGAGTAATATAGCAAAAACAAAACAAAAAGCATGGTGTTTGAACTCAACTTTTGTTTTTCCTGGGGTGCTGAATTTGGTAAGATTGTGTGTAGACACAGCTTGAATTTCCCTGCATTTAAAACTCTCATGTTTTAAATAAATAAGGCTTTCCTCCCTCCTAAATTATAACTATACAGCTGTACTCCTGGCCCCCTCCATTCTGGAGAGAGAGAAAAAGTTAATTAACTAGTCTTTTCCTTTTGGTTTGTGTCATTGACAAGATCATATGTTAAGCATCTCTCTAAGGGTAGCCATTGAAGTGGTCTCTTATAATAGTTGAGTTGTCATTGTGCCATGTTTAGAAGGGAAAATTTTAAGCTGGAATTTGGTGTGAGATTAAAAGAAAATACTAAAACAAAATGTGTCAAAGCAAATGCGCGATTTCATTAAAGGAGAAGTATGTGTTGGTTTGCTTTTCTTATTCTATAGCAGACATGAAGGAGATCCCGATGGGTTGTTGCTTTAGCTTCCTCTCCAGGTGCCTGTCTCTTCTAGACCTCTACAGACCTAGATGCTCCCGATTTGACCTTAGGCAGTTAGGTTTTTGTGTCAAGGTGGTTCAATATTTTTTTCTTTAGCATTTTAATGAATCTCAATCAACAACTTATTGTGGAGACAACATTTCATTTTATATTTCTAATTAGGTGTGGTAATTAACCAAGAGCACCCAGTTCTTTACCTAATAGTACAAAAGGTATCCACTTCTATGAGTCACAGTTCAATGAATTCAGAGAGAATTTTTCTGAGAAGCAAGTGATTCCCTTAGGTACTACCAATCCAACTGTGTCAGCTTTTTTTCTTCCCCCTTGATTTCTCCAGCTGTAGGTAAGTGATTTGGAAAAACAGAAATTGAAAATTTTGTATTTGGAAACTCAGGTCTAGTGTTTTATCTGTTCCTATTAGAGAGTGGACTTTATGTCAAAAAACTTCCAGCTTAATGCCATAGCAAGAAAGAATGTAGTACACTTTGGAGGCTATGCTTAGTGAAATAAATAGCTTCAAGCCTGTAGAGCCCAAAGTCTTGTCTTCCACTAGAATTCTGTTTCTTTTCCTATGCTGTTACACCATTTCTCAGTTACATCTGCTATTTTTATTGATGTCTAAGTCATAAACTATCCGAGATTGGCAATAAAATCAATTTAACTACAAATACTGGACAGTTTATTTTTATAATAATTTGGTCTGCTCACTTTGTGTGTTTACAAAGTATTTTAAAAGGGTATTTGGTGTCAAATGCAAAAAACAACTTTAAGTCAAATTAACCTAAATATGATATCCTTTATTTAGTGGTCTTTTACTAAAAAATAGCATTACTTAGAACAAATTTTCTAATTTAATTACTTGCTCTGTTAAACTTAGTTTTCTAATTTACAAGTGGGGTCCTACTTTGGAAGAATCCCCAGGTTTTCTCAGCTATGAATAGACTATGGCATCATGTCTACGTGTCTATTTAAGTATCATTTATGGATCCCAAAAGGGAGTGTGCCATCTGGACGTACATGTACACTACATTGAGCTCTCTGTTATGATATTAATTGCTTCCCTGAAGCTACATTCTTTCTTGCCAGTTCTGAAAACTAATATTTCAAATGCTTCCAGAGTCATAAATAATAGTCATGATTCTATGTGGCATGTGTATTACAGCTAGATCAGTTCATACGTATAACTTTACATAGTATCTTGTGTAAAAATAGCTTTGGTTATTAAAATCATTGCAATAAAATACCTGCACTATAATATTGTGTTCTTTGGTGCCTAGGTGATTTTTTTTTTAAATGGATGGACTCTTGTTTCATTTCTTAAAAAATATCTGAACATTCCTTAACAAACAAAGAGAATGCACTGGTTTAGGTGTCATTCAAATTTTCTTTGCTGGGTTTGAATCTGCATTTAGGTTGCGGGCCTGGCAGGTTCAAACGCTAGGCTAGACGAGTGAAATCACACTCCTATCCAATGAACTCAGACAACCCACACTATGTTGGTTGTACTCCTATAGCACAACCCTTCCTGAAGACCAGCCCTGCCTAAGTCCCTAACCACTGGTGGTGTGTGCATATGTGTGTGTATGTGTGTGTGTGTGTGTGTGTGTGTGTGTATGCACTCACGTACCCACACACAGTACTGAGACACCATACACCTTCATGGCATGGTGGAACAGATGAGAAAGTCTGATCTTAAAAGATGTCCACTCAATGGCTCAAAATCACTATGCTCCAAACCACGAAACAGCCAAGCACAGCGAGAATGATCATGGATTGAAGGTGTGAGATCCAGTGGTGCTTTCCTGCTCATAATTTTTCTTGCCAAGTCGTTGCCCCGCTGAAGTGTGTGTGTGTCTCCGAACAAAGTCAGAATGCAGGTGAGCTAAGTCTTTGGTTTCTTTGGACTATAAATAACACTTTTTTTTCTTCTTCAAATATTTCTAAGTATAAACCTGCTATCTTGAGGTCCTGGTCTTTTAAAATTTTTTTTTTTTTTAATTTAAAGCTTTTCCACCGAGGTTTAGTTCGTGGTTATTCCTTCATGCTTTGGTACAAGTGCTTGATGAAGAAGATGAGTTGCCTGAATTGGAGCTGCCCTCGTCCTGCCACTTGTCCAGACTCCTCCTCCTTGCGTTCATGAAGAAATTGCTCACGGTGCTCAGCTCCAACCCCAGCTGCTGGGAAATAGTGATTTGCAATTCTTTGGATGGACGCTTGTTTTCCTTGAATATTGCATGTAGAGTTCGACGCTGGACATCTGTGAAGACTAACCTGGGCTTTTTGGGTGTGTTGCCTCTATCCTTCCCATGCTCTTGTTCTTTCCTTTTGCAAGCTGCAAAACAAAAACAAAAACAAAAACTCACAGCAGATGTTAGAACAGACTGCCTGGGAGATTCAAGAGAAAAAGGCAGAGCCAGTAATATTTGTTTGCCATTCCTTATGGACCACTTTGTGGCAGATGAGCTCTAATTTTAGCACCATGGTGGGCTGGGAGGAAGTGTATATATACGGATGGGGAATTCGGAGGAGGTGGGGTTCTCTGAGTCCTGGGGGTGGGTCCTGGCATTGTAAGCATCTGCTCTTTGTCCGTGGTAAGTGGTAAATCTATTACCCCCACCTGGAACTCAGATTGCTCATCTGCAGAATATAGGGCTCTGGCAAAATACACCTCTTGCATGAATTTTTATATCATCATCTGCGAAATGGATAGAAGAATATGTACCTTGCTGGGTTGTGGTCAGGATATATGAAATAGTATATGCAAACATTTATGTCAACTGAAATGCTTTGCAAATGCAAAGTCTTACCGCCCAGAAGTGGCTGGACCCCTCAAAGGCTTTACAGTCTGCTCCTGGTAGAATACTAAGAGCCTAAGAGAGTCTGAAAACAATATAAAAAGGAATTGCAATTGTTATCCTTCTGATCTTTTTTGTTTCCCAGGCAACTCTGTATGTAAGAAAGTCCTGTAGCTAGCATGCTACCAATGCTACCATGTCCGTCAACTAGTCTTCCACTGATGATTCAGTGGACCCTGGACTTTTGGAGGTGTGATGCCCACTTCCTTGCCATCAAGGCTAAACCTGTCACGTTAGGCACATTCCTGTTTGGAGTCTCTCTGTGCCTCCTTTTTGCTCTTCATGAAGGTTTTTCTGCTGGAGTGCCACTCTTCCCCTACCTTATCTCCCACTCAGAAGGCCCATTCCCTGCTCATGCCTTTTGATCCTATATCATGATTCTTGGCTGCTAGAACTCTTGTGATATATCATCCCAGTGGGGCCCTTGGGCCCCCAGGGTTTGGTGTTGGAATAGGGTTTCTCCTCATCGCAGGTGCCAGAGTTCCCCTTTGTAGACTAATAGGGCTCACTAGCTTCCACCTGCCAAGGAGGCACTGAGGGCCGCGTTGTTGATACCACTCTTCACCCACTCCTAATGCCCACCATCAATCAATCCCTATAGCCATCCCCAAGTAACTGTATCATCTATATAAAAATGATGCCCTGACTCCAATCAGATTGCTGCCTCTCGGCACCCTACACAGGCACTGTGGAGTAGTCAGTACTATCCTTATTTCTGGATGGCTATGCTCTGATGTGAGCTTCAATCACAGTGAGAGACAGATGGGGCATCTTCCTGGTGGAGATAGAGACTGTTACCCACCCTTCTTTCCCTCCTTCCCTTGCCTTGCTTTTCTTTTCCTTTCTTGGGTTGAGTGATGCAACAGCCTTCATTGTATCAGTAACACTGATACAGATGTCCCATTCTGGGTCAGGGCTTCCCCCACCCCACCCCATCCTACCCCTTGGAGCTCATCAATCTGGAACTTTGGGGAGGAGGGACAGAATTCCTAAACAGAGCTGGAGAGAGGCAAGTAGAACTATTGAATGTAGGGGTTATCTGGAACCAAGGGTTCAACAAGGTCAGGATGCTTAAATTTTCTGTCCTGATGGGGGCTGGGAACACTTGCATCCTGGGGCCAAGATTTGGCAATACCCTGATTGGGGCTCAAAGCTAGGGTAGGGTGTGGAAAAGCCTTAGTTCAAGGTTCAAGAGAATGCCTTTGTCCCAGATCCTAGCTTTGGGGCTGAGCATGGGAGATGGGTGGGTCCCAGATTGGGAGTGGGGGAATGTCTCTGGGTCCAGTGTTTGAGGTTGACCATGGTTGCTCTGGCTGGGGTAGTCTGGTCCCCTAGGTAATGGGGGCTGGTAGGAGGGAGATCTCAATTTTGGAACTGGGGGAAGGTCACAGATGTCCTGCGTTTTGAACTGAGAGAGCACTGTATCTTAAGGGCTGGGAAAGGGCTCTGGGTCCCTGGTTCAGAGCCAGAGTGGGAGTGACATTCTCTAGGTCTTGGGTACAGATCCCAGACCCCTAAGATCCAGCCTCTTGCTCTTGTCTCAGCACCCCCAGCTACAGCCCCACTGGCATCTGGTTGAGACCAATACTCTCAAACTCTCAATCTTGTTCTCAATATTTTCTTGAGGTTTTGCAGGTACAGTGAGGTGTGCACCAGAATCAGAAGCCCAGAGACACTGAGCAGGAAGGTGAAAGTGAGGATGAGGAGGCTGATGGCCACTGTGACCAGGTGGCCGGGCAGATAGCGGGTGGCTGCTTGAGTCTCAGCTGAGGGCCACTGTCACTACCTGTGCTGGTTGGAGGGTGTGCAGCATGAAGGTGTACCTGCTCCCAGCACTTTTCAATCACAGCCAAACTCCCTGCCAAGCCCAGAGCCTCCACAAGTCCACCCTCCTAATCGTTCAGCTTGACCATGTCCCTGGCTCTGTTCTTTGTCTGAAGTCCTATCACTCTTTCATATCTCCTCAGACCTCCAGTTAGCTGCCCTGCCTATTACTGTCTCCTGCTCCACCTCCTGCCTCTTTGTATTCTATGTTCTCAGTATCCTACTAGATGGTTCATCAGCTCTGGACAGATGCAGTCTCTGTGCTCTCTTCACATAGTCCTACTCTGCCTGCCCCTATCTTTCATTCTTCATTGCTCCTGGATTTTAGAGTTTCCTTAAGGCGTTAGTATAAATTAGCTCAGCAGTCAGATCAGATGAGAAGCTAATGGGTAAAGGCTGAAGAAGACACCAGTCTTTGAAGTCCAATCTAGAGGTCTCCAGACTGTTTTTAACCATGTGCTACTTAGTAAAAGATATTTTGAGTATGCACTCCTTAATATTATTTATTTATAAATTATATATATATATATGTGTTACTCTAATACTATATGATGTATATCACAAAGCATAAACAAAACATAAAATCTGTGAAAGGAGTAAAATAAAAAAAAAGACACATTCTCTTCTACAGATGAATTAGCTTACCTAGGCCCTAGCATGCATTCATCCCAACCAAGTGACCACTGGTCCAATTCCAACCATAGGGAAATATGAGGATAAGAATTTCAGAATGGACATGAAGGGAAAGCTCAGTCATGAAAGAGATATTTTTAGGCCAGTCAGGCCATACGGTACCTATCGTAACATATCCTGTAGGTCACTGGCTATGCCTCTTCTCAGTATGAGGGGTAGCAACAACATAATGGGAAGTATGTATTAAATGCCCAATCCCTCAGAGCACCAAGCTACGTATACTGAACCAGCTGAATTTACCCAAATAGAATTCCTGTCCCTAGGGACCTCTAGCCCTCACTGGGCAACTAGATAAGTCTTTGAAAAAAACAGCTGACTAGACTGAAGGCATCTCTAGTTTGAATTAGACCATGTAGACCAGCTTTATACAATACTGATGCACATGGTTGATTGCACATTCACCTTCAAAAATGAGTATGACACAGACTTTGCTCTTAAGGGGGTCAGTCTAATGATCACAGAAGCAAATGACTCTGAATATCAAAAGAGTATACAGATATTACTTCTGCCTGAGGATATTAAAGAAGGCATCAAAGAGGAGGGGTACTTACACTGGGCCTGAAAAGGATGTATAGGAATTTGCTAATGAGAGAAGTGGGACAAAATCATGCCCAGCAGGAGGAGCAGTGCTCATGAAAGATTGATAAATGTTAGTAGACAAAGATCAGAGTTGAATTATCTTGTTGGTAAGGAGGAGGTTACTGAAAGAGTTTGAGAAAATGTATAAATTAAATTTAGGTTTAGGAAAACCCTTCCAGTGGTATTTTGGGGGGACAGGATGATATGGTACATCACCCTGGTCCCCTTAGGAGTAAGGCACTCATTCCTCCACCTGCTGCAAGAGGTGGTGGTTGGTGGCTCTCAGCTGAAGGCCATTCTGGCAATTGCCCTTGTCATGGGGTGGGGTGAGAGGCTGCCTACATCCTGTGGGAGGGTGAGAGGAGTAGGGGATGGAGGTATGGAGGACGGAGGCTGAAGAGAGTGGGAATGTACCCCCTCCTCCCCAACCCAATGCATCAAGTTGGGACAATTCTGAAGGGTCATCCAGTCCTACAGCATGCTACAGAATTGGTTGAGGCTATTCTTGTAACTGGATCAAAGTTCATCTGCTTCAACCTGGTCGTTTTTCTTCTATTCCCCCAACAGGGGTTATTCTCCATCACTCTGATAACCTGCCTACATGTAAGTCTTAGAAACCCAGAGTCTGTTTCCCAGAAAACCTAAGAAAACCACTGTAGTAAGGACCCCAAATTAGGCAATGACAGTTGAGGGTGGAATACAGAGACTAAATTCAAGAGCTTCTTGGAAGGTAGAATCAAGAGAACTTAATGACAACTTGGCTGGGAGGGTGGAATTCTAAACAACTCCTAGGTTTCTGATTGGAAGGTGGTAATGAGGTCATTAGGGAATGCAGATGGAGAAATGAATTTTATGAGGTCAGTAATCACTTCTATGTGGGACAAACTGCATTTGAAGTGCTTGTTGGACATTCTGTTAAAGATCTCCAATAGGTGGTTGTCCAGTAGACAGCACAACATATGGGGCCTCCATGGAGCTCTGGGGTTGGGACAGGTCTGGGCTAGGTCTACAGACTGGGAAGTTATTAGAGGTCTAGATGGTAAATTACACAGAACATACCTATGGAAAAGTAAGTCACTGAGCATCAGGTGCAGACTCAACTTATTCACCATTCAAAAGGCAGAGTTAAGGGAAATCACAAAGAGATATCCATTTTCTACCTAACCAGGCTGTATGTTTGAACGAATTCAATCTGGTCCTTGGCATTTGGCAGACCAAGTGGTCTGAAGCTACTTCCAAACCAGCATTTCCCAAATGGTGTCAGGGGAGAGGGTTCCTGGAAAACATGGTTTGCAGGTCAAGCACATTTGGAGAAATCTACTGTATATAGTTTCTTCCTCAAAATTCACAACATGCGTTAGCACATGTAATTGTTTCCCAG